GCAAACATACCTTGTTTTTTTTGTTTTTTGTTTTTTTTTTTTTTAAGAGAGAGAGAGAGAATCTTAATATCTATTTATTTATTTTTTAGTTTTCGGCGGACACAACAGCTTTGTTTGTATGTGGTGCTGAGGATCGAACCCGGGCTGCACGCATGCCAGGCGAGCGCGCTACCGCTTGAGCCACATCCCCAGCCCTGCAAACATACTTTGAATTTCCTAATTTCCTGGTCTTCAAAACAAACTGGAACTTTTTCTTTTCTTTCTTTCTTTCTCTTTCTCTTCCTTCCTTCCTTCCTTCCTTCCTTCCTTCCTTCCTTCCTTTCTTTCTTTCTTTTTGTGGGAGGGATATGGGGATTAAACCCAGGGGTGCTTAATAACTGAGCCACATCCCCAGCCCTTTTTTTAATGTTTTATTCAGACTCAGAGTCTTGCTAAGTTGCTTAGGGCCTCGCTACATTGCTGAGGCTGACTTCAAACTTGGGATCCTCCTGCCTCAACCTCCCGAGCTGCTAGGATTACATACAGGTGTGCGCCACTACACCAGGCTCAAAGTGGAACTTTCTGAGTCGCTGCAGCCACATCTCTAACAGCTCTCCTGTCCTCTCATTCCCATTCCTCAGAGACCTCTGCATTCAGGCCCTCAGATGCACTCACCCTCTGCCCTGCTCTCCTGGAATCTGGCCCTTGGAGGCCAGCAAGCTGCCTCAACCAACTGGGCTTCCTAGAGGGCATTTGAATCGGATCCACAACTAGCCCCCCACCCCTACAGACTTTCTAGAAACTTCCAGAGGGACCGGTCTCCCCTCTGCTGACTGCTCCCCAGCCCCGTGGCCAGGGTGGACATTCAGCCGGAATGTGCAGGACCAGCTGACTGGTCAGTACCAGGGCTATACCTGCTGTGAAATATTTTTAATAAACCTCTACCAGAAGCTCACATTTATTGTTTCACTAGGCAGCAAGCACTGTATTAAGTGCTTTTTATTTATTTATTTGGTGCTGAGGATCAAACCCAGGGCCTCGTGTATGCAAGACAAGCGCTCTACCACTGAGCTCCAACCCCAGCCCTTACGTGTTTTAAAGACTGTCTCATGATGATACGATGAGGGATACACAAATATTATCCCCCTTTTACAGATGAAGAAACTGAGGCTCAGAGAGGTGAAGTGACCAGCCCAGTTCACAGTCTATTAATCGGCAGAGTTCAGGCCAGAGCTGTGGAACTGACAGGGAGAGTGCTCTGGTTGTACTGGCCACAGTTCTCAGCTCTCCCGCAATGTCCCTGCCCTCTCTCTGGCCTTCCTGGCCCTGCCCGACCTGTAACTATTCTATCCTTGCAAGTGACGACCAAATCCATATCTCCCAACTCCAGCCTCATCCTGTTCTTCAGTCTTTCTTCTTTTCTTGGGTTTTTTTTTTTTCATTTTTTAAAAATTGTGGTAAAATATACATTACATAAATTTACCATGTTGGGGTTTTGTGTTGTTGTTTTGGGCTTTGGTTTTCACGGAGCTGGGGATGGAACCCCTGGTCCTGCACACGTCACAAGCTCCACCGACCATTCCAGGTGTAGAGTGCAGTGGCATTACCACAGTCGCGTTGTGCAACCACCACCCCATCCATGATCCCATCTCCAAAACTTCCTCTTGCAAAACTGAAACGCTGCACCCCTTCAACAATACCTCCCACTCTCCCCTCCTCCAGTCCTGGCACCCGCCATTCTGCAGTCTATGCTTTTGACTGCTCTAGGCACCTCATACATGTGGAGTCATACGGGTCTTGTCTTCTAGTGACAGCCTTTCTCCACTAGCACAGTGCCCTTGAGGTCCATCTACGCTGTGGTATATGTTAGAATCACCTTTTTGTGTGTGTGGGAGGGTGTACTAGGGATTTTACCCAGGGGTGCTCAACCATATTCCCAGCCCTTTTATTTTGAGACAAGGTCTCGCTTAAATTGCTTAGTGTCTGCCTAAATTGCTGAGGCTGGCTTTGAACTTGCAGTCCTTCTGCTTCAGCCTCCAGAGTTGCTGGAATTACAGGCATGTGCCACCACACCCAACAAAACCACTTTCTTTTTAAGGCTGACTAATATTCCATTGTAGCTGAATACCACAATCTGCTTATCCATTTAACCGTTAATGGACACTTGGGCTGCTATTGGGTTTTAGCTATTGGGAATGATGTTGCTATAAATATATAAATTTATCTTCAAAACCGTTCTTCAAATTCTTTTACTCATATACCCAGAAGTGGAATTGCTGCATCATATGGCAATTCTATTTTTAACATTTTGAGGATGACCAAGCTGTTTCTCCCAGTGGCTGCACCATTTTACATTTGCACCAACTCGACACATCCCACATCCTCACCAACACTTGCTATTTTCTGGGTTTTTAATTCTTTTTTTTTTGGTACTGGTGATTGGACCTAGGGGTGCTTAACCACTGAGCCACATTCCCAGCCCTTTTTATTTTGTATTTGGATTTAGAGTCTTGCTAAGTTTCCCAGGATGGCGGTGCTCAACCACTGAGCTACACCTCCAGCCTTCATAAAAGCATAAAGAAAACATCTGAAGGGCCCAGAGTTCTGTAACCCAAGTCCAGGATTCTTGGCGCGTTTCCCTGTTGCTGGGCAGCATTCTTCTCTCCTCCTGCACAGTCCCCAGCCGAGCCCCCACCATCTCATCCAGGTTCTCGTCAAACCTGTCTGCGCACCTGACTTCCCGCTCTACTCCTGTTTCAGGCCCCAGACCCAGAGGTGCTGGGATTCGGTGACCTTGTGTCTCTGCTCCCAGGACCTGCATGTGGGCACTGCCAGAGCCTGAGGAGGACTGCCAAGGGCCAGGTGGCAGGTAGCATGTAGAGGAGCCCTTTCCAGGCAGGAATGCAGGGCCCAGAGGGACAGCCTGTGACAGATGGGGGAGTGTCAAGAAGCTGCTGGGCTCAGAAGAGGCAAAGGCCTGAGGAGGAGAATGCAGTGCTAGGATTGATTAGTGGCCTCACAGCGTTGTCCTCAGGGGGACCTTGTTAGAAATGCAGAGCCTCAGGCTCCGTAGCCCAAGGATACAGCAGGTGCTTAGTATGTGGGAAGCCCCAGCATCCATCCCCAGCACCTAAGGAGTACAGGGGTGGGGGGAGGAGGGGAAGGGGAGGGAGGAGCAAAGCCTGGCGTGGGGGCACTCACCTGTAATCCCAGTCACCTGGGAGGCTGAGACCCAGGATTGCAAGTTCAAAGCCGGCCTCAGCAATTTAGCAAGACTGGGGATGTAGTTCAGTGGTAGAGCCCCCTGGGGTTTAATCATCAGGAAGGAGGAGGAGGAGAAGGAGAAAAGAACAAATGACAGCATTTCAGGACCCATCCCCACTGTGACTGCAAGCTAGCAAGGCCCCCTCACTGAGGGGCTGCCCTTCCAGGAACATTAGATCCCCGGAGGGCTGAGGTGTAGCTCATGGGTGGAGTGCTTGTCTAGCGCGTCCCTAGCCCTGGGCTTGATCCTTAGCACTGAAAAAACCAAACAAACTCTAGAATCTCTAGGGAGAATCTAAAGCAATGTCTTACAGCCGGGTGTGGTGGCACATGCCCATAGTCCCAGCAACTCGGGAGGCTGAGGCCGGAGGATTACAAGTTTGAGGCCAGACTCAGCACCTTAGACCCTGTCCCAAAATAAAAGAGGGCTGGGGATGTAGTATAGCAACCCTGGATCCAATCCCAGAACTGCAAAATAACTAACTAAAGCGTTGTCTCAGTAGCAATTCTGGAGCACCTGTATTTCTGCATTCATGACTATTCAGCTGATGATCCCCGAGAGCAGCTATGTGGCCTCCATCACAAGCTCCACACCTCCTCTTCCCCAGAAGAGCACTCGGGGCCTGAAGCACAGATTGTCTGTCTGGGGCCCCTGGTGCCTGCCCTCTGCATTCCTTCCTGTCCTCTTGGGGTTTTAGGGATGGTTACTCCTTGCAGAGGCCTCTCTGGGTCCTCTCGCCTGGCACAATGTCCCTCCGCTGCTCCTTCATCACCCTGTGCTCCCTTTAGTCATACCACCAGCTTGTCTGCCCCAGACAAGGAGGCCACAGGCTTCCTGAGGACCCAGTGTCTGCAACGCCCTTGATAAGTGTTTGCAGAGTGAATGAACAACAACAACAAAAAAAAAGTTAATGAAATCAAAATAAGAACATATATGGGGCTGAAGCTGGGGCTCAGTGGCAGAGCACTTGCCTAGGATGTGTGAAGCCCTGGGTTCAGTCCTTAGCGCCACATAAAAAATGAATTAAATAAAGGCATTCTCGAGGTGGGGAGGCTGGGGTTGTGCCTAGCAAGTGTGAGGCCCTGGGTTCGATTCTCAACACCACATAAAAATTAATTAATTAATTAATTAAAGGTCTATTGACAACTAAAAACAAAAGGCATTCTGTCTCTACAACTACCAAAAAAATTATTAAAAAAATTAAAAAGAACCATTATTCACTGGCATATGCCTATGGTATCATTCCAGATAGTGCTAGGAAATAAATCCATATATAATTCAATATATATAATCCAAATATAATCCATAGGCCACATATCTCACTCACTTAAAATGCATGATTCAGCTGTGAAATGCATGATTCAGCTGTGTATGACCTACTTGGTGCACATCTGAAGTCCCAGCCACTTGGGAGGCTGAGGCAGGAGGATCCTAAGTTTGAGGCTAGCCTCAACAACTTAGTGAGACCCTGTCACAAAAATCAAAATAAAAAGGGATGCGGATGTAGCTCAGTGGTAGAGCGCCCCTGGGTTCAATCACCAGTACTGCTAAATAAATGAATAAGGAAAAATCCAAAGTGTACAATTCAGTGATTTTTTAATATCTTCAGAATTCTACAATCATTACTGCTAATTCCAGAACATTCTGTCTTTTCTTTTTTTTTTTTTTAAAGAGAGAGAGAGAGAATTTTAATAATTATTTTTTAGTTATCGGCGCACACAACATCTTTGTTTGTATGTGGTGCTGAGGATCGAACCCGGGCCGCATGCGTGCCAGGTGAGCGCGCTACCGCTTGAGCCACATCCCCAGCCCCTGTCTTCTCTTTTTATCATCGGTGTGTGTGTGAGAGAGAGAGAGAGAGAGAGAGAGAAAAGAGGGGGAGAGAGAGAGAGGAGGTGTGTATTCTGGGGATTGAACCCAGTGGTGCCTTACCATGAGCCTCATCCCCAGTCCTTCTTATCTTGAGTAGGCATCTCATCAAGTTGCCCAGGCTGGCCTTGAACTTATGATCCTCCTATCTCAGCCTCCTGAGTAGCTAGGATTACAGAAACGCACCACTGCACTCGGCTATTCCAGAGCCTTTTCATCACCCCCAAAGAAACCCCATATCCCTCAGCAGACACTGCCCAAGCTCCCCAGGCTTCCCACCCTGCGGGAGGTAACAGCAACCTACCTTCTCCATGGTCCCCCCCTCTGGGTGTTCCGTGTAGATGGAATTCTATAACATGTGGCCTTTGTATCTGGTTTTTCACTCAGCACGATGTGTTCCCGGCTCATCGCCGTGGTCGCATCTAACCACACGCCATCTGCTGCTGTTGCTGGATGATACTCCACATCTTATCCATCCACTCTCAGATCCGGGTACCACCAGCCTTGGTGACGATGCGCAGCATTTAGATTTTGCCATACCATTTTCGTGTTGCCTCTCTTCATCTCTAGGTCACTGCTTGGGCACAGCTGCGTATATCCCTGTTTTACAGATAAGTCAGCTGAGGCCAGAGTGAGCCACCGGACGTGCTGATCACAAGGTGTGAAAGGGCAGAGTTGGGGCTCACGCCTTCTCGATGCATCACCTGCCTCCCTCCCAGTCCAGTGTATGTTCCCCATCTCTCCTCCCTGACCCACTCTGGGGGACAACCCAATGCCCTATGGCCACCTGTCTTGGATACACAGAGGCGTGGGTGTGTGCTCAGGGAGGGAGGTGTCAGCCTTTATCTCATCTGGATTGTGAACCAAAGGCTTGTCCCCTTCCAGCCTCAGGGCAGGCAGGCCACTTGTGGGTCCAGGGCCTGATGAGTGAGGTGTGGACAAGGGAGGACCCCATCCAGGAGTCCCGGGCCACCCTGAGCACAGGGGCCTCTCCCACCTGGTCTTTCCTATCACCACTTCCTTCTGCTTGACCTTCTGATCATGCCCTTCCTCGGCAACCAGAAAACCATGAAGAGCCTCCTTTATGGCACTTGTCACGCAGAGACACGACCTATGGTTCCTGTATCTGTTCTTCCACACTTGAGAGCTGAGGGCACCAAGGTCCTCATCACCTTTGTGTCCCAGGAACGGACACTTCACAGGGACTCAGACCTCAGCGGTGGAATGAAGGGATCTTCCTGTGTCACTAACAGTGCCTCTCTCATACGGTGTGCCTTGTCCCCACAACACCCCTGTGGTGTGCATCTGATGTCCTTATTAAAGAAAAATCAGATATTCAGAGAGGCAGGCGCGGGGCCTCGGAGACAGAGACAGAGCTGGGATCCAGTCCAGACCCCCCTGCCTCCTGATCCGCTGCACCTCCCTGCCTAGGCCGGGAGTGTCCCCATGAGCAGTGTCCACCTTAGAATCACACCCTTAGGAGCAGATCACATAGACATCCAGTGGACAAGGGCACACAATGCTTCCTGAGCTCCACTGCCCTGTGATCCCCTCGTTAGATCCCACTTCAAGTCTCAGGAGAGAACACAGACCGAGGTGGCGCTCTGTGGCACAGCCCAGACCCCGGGCTCAAGCCCCAGCCCTGAAAGTGGAAATGGTGGGCATACGGGGAACTTCCTATCACCGGTAGGTTGTGAAACAGTGGAGCCATTCTGGGGACCAGTGTGGCACTTCCTTTACAGTCAACAGTTACCACAGGCTAGTGTTTGAATGTCCCCTCCAAATTCAAGTTGAAATTTAATTGCCATTACGGTTTGGGGAGGTGAGACCTTTAAGAGATGGTTAGGTTGTAAGGGCTCCACTCTCCTGATGGATCAAGGTCACTCTCTGGCAGGTTTGTGCCTGGAAAGTGGGCTCTTCTGAAAGGGAGTTTGGCTTGCTCAGCTCGCTCTCACACCTACCTTCTTGTTCTGTCACCATGGGACGCCCTTCTCCACCAGGTGACACAGCAAGAAGGCCCTCGCCAGATGCCAGCACCTTGACACTGAACTTCCCAGCTTGCAACACTGTGAGAAATAAGCTTATTTTCTTTACAAACCACCCAGCCTGTGATATTCTGTGATAGCAGCAGCAGACAGACTGAGATACCACATGACCTTGAACTTCTTATGAGGGGGAAGCTCCTGTCCACACAGAAACTCAGACACCCTGTGAGTGTTCGGCAGCAATGTTATGCAAAGAGTGAAAACAATACAAATGTCCATGAACCAACGTTTGGAAAAGCAAACAGGCGGTGCACACAGTGGGGTATTACTTGGGAATAACAAGGAGAGAGGCTGCCTGTGGACGAACATTGAACACATCGTGCTAATTGAAAGAAGTCAGCCACGGAGGCCACAGAGTGGAGGCCTCAGAGTATGTAAGTCCTCTTATGTGAAGATCCAGAAGAGGCTACTCTGTAGGGACAGACAGAGGCTGCCAGGGTCTGTGGGAGGGGACCAGGGACTGACTACTAATAGCTATGAAGCTTCTTTTTTGAGTGATGAGAATGTTCTGGAATTAGATCATGGGAGGGTTGAGCAAGTCAGAGGATCACTGAAAGCCACAGGATTGTACATTTTAAAAGGGTGAAGTTTATGGTATGTGAATTATATCTCAATAAAGATACTATACAAAGAACAAAAACAAATAAAAATGCAGTGGCCTTTGCTTGCTTGAGTTCCATGGAAACAGGCATTTGAAGATGAGAACCAAGTGGTCCACCTCCCACCCCACACCAGGACGGAGGGTGTGACCTGGCACAGCACCCAGAACCACGCTGGGCATGTGTGACTCCGTCGGGATCGTCCCTCAGACTTCCCTTCACGGTTGCATTTTTACCATTTGGCCTCATGTTCTGTGTGGCAAAGGACCTTGTGATCATAATGTGTTCCCTGCTGGGGTCGGGCCAGGTGCTGTGAAGCCTGTCTCAAGATGGGGAAGCAGCATCAAAGGCCGCCTTAGCAACCAAGCCCAGCTGCAGGGTGACAGAGTTAGGGTGACATTATAGGATTTGAGCAATTAGGAACAAATGAAACTTCACCCCCAGTGCAAAGCAGCTGGGGTATAAAGGAAGCTGGGATCTGGCACCCAAATCCTTGGTTTGAATCTTAGCTCTACTACTTATTAATTGGGTGAAAACTAAATAAAATCACATCAGTAAGAAACATGACACAATGCCTGGTACACAATAAGCCAACAAGTGTTATCATTAGGTAGAAAAGAAGGCTGGACCAGGGTCCCAACTCTGCCACTTCTTTACTGTGTGATCTTAAGCTAATCACATGACCTCTCTGGACCTCAGTGTTTCTCTATCTGTTAGAAGACAATCACAGGGCCAGGAGTATGCATGACTGTAATCCAAGCTACTTGGGAGGCTGAGGCAGAAGGATCATAAGTTGGATGCCAGCCTGGGCAACTTGGTCTCAAAAATAAAAAGGGCTGGAGACATAGCTCAGTCATTGAACACCTTGGGTTCAATCCCCAGTACTGAAGAGAGAAGGGGGGGAAGGAAGGGAGGAGGGAGAGGAAGGGGAGTGTGATTTTGTGCATCTAACTAACAAGATTGTCTGATGCAGCTTATCTGGTTAAGCACTTTACAAACTCAAAAGGCTCCTGTGTGCAGAGTTATCTTGGCTAATGGGGAGAGTGACTTGCAAGATTCTGGAGATAAGAGGAAGCTCTAAGTAATGCAACAGAGAAGAGAGGCCAAGGACACACTGCTCTTGCCCAAGAGAAGCCCTCCACCTTGAAGTCATTCAGCCAACAGAAGCAGAGACAAAACCACTCAGCACCCTTGGGCAAGGCAGGAGGCTCAGCCAGTGAGGCAAGATGCAGGGTTTCTTGTCCTTGTCTACAGAGGCAAAGGCGTCAAGCTGCAGGAAGGGTGCAGGACCAGGGGGTCAACTCTGCCGCTCTTCACTGTGATCTGAAGCTATCCCTTGACCTCTAGGAGCCTCAGTGTTTCTTTACCTGTCAGAAGACAATAATGTGGCCAATAATGTGTCAATGCCAATGTCCGGGTTGAAGCTGCCTCCAGGGACGGGGGCTCCTCCTCTGCCAGCAATCCTTCCATTGGTGGCTTCCCATGGCTTTGGAAAGACAATAATAGCTGACATTTATAGAGGAGGAAGGACATGCCAGGCATTTTCTGAGAACATTTCCTTATACACCTGGCTCTCCATTTCTTCTGGTTCTACACCCAACGGAGAATGAAAAATATCTGCAATCTCAAATACTAAAAAGAAAAAAAGGAAAATCTGCAGAATATTGTGTCTGATCTGAACAGGTTCAGACTTTTTCTTATTATTCCTAAACAATACAGTATATCAACTGTTACACAGCATTTACATCATCTGGTGTTATAAAAGGTGATTTAAAATCTATGGGAGGATGTGTGTAGGTTGTATGCAAATACTATGCCATGTAAGGGACATAAGCACCCAAAGCCTTTCCTATCTGAAGGGGTTTTGGAGCCATTCCCCCAAGGATATCTAGGGATGACTGCATTCTCTCCTGTGATCCTCACATTAGTCCTACAAGATAGGTTGCCTTAGATTCTCTATGTTACAAATGAGGTCCTTGAAACAGAAGTTTTGTGACTTATTCAAGGTCATCCAGCTATTAAGTAGCAGAGCCAGGCTTTGAGCCCAGGCCCTTTGGCTCCCAGGCCCACCATCCCAGCAATTTCTTTACTGTTTTTCCATCAGCAGAAGGGGTTGGTTGGTCAGAGCCTGGCCCGACAGCCAAGGAGCAGAGGAATCAGGTTTTCTAGGTCCATGATTTTCTATTAATATTAATAATAAAAGTCATAGTAATAAAAACTACTAATCTAGTGGTCCTTGTGGGTGGCATCTGTCCAGCATGACCCCTGGAGGTCCTGGGTCTCAGGCTCGCAAGCAGTTGCACAATCAGGTACCTGACTGATTATATTCCCACAGCAAACTCCGTACAAACCAGTAAACTCATGCTGTATCGTTAATGGTGTCCAAAATAGAAGTTTTTTGTTTTGTTTTTTACCCCCTATTTTCTGTAAGAAATAAGCTTGTTTTTTTTTTTTTCAGTAAAACACACTTACATACATGAAACAAATTTCCCCAAAATATTCTCTGATTTTTTGTAGTTTTTTGTTTTTCTTTTGCAGCACTGGGGATCAAACCGAGGGTCTCCTACAAGCTAGGCAAGTACTCTATCATTGAGCTACACCCTCGGCCCTATTTTATTTTGAGACAGGGTTTTTTTAAATTGCTAAGGCTGGCCTCCAACTTGCAATTCTCCTGTCTCAGCTCCCAAGTTGCTGGGATTACAGGTGTGTACCACTGGACTCAGCCTATTTCATTTTTTTTTTTTTTAAATGCTGGTCATGACATTGACACACTAGTGGAATTCCATTGACTACAGCCTTTGGTAAGCTACTGAACCTCTATAAGCCTTTGCATAACTCAAAATGTTGTTTTGAGGAGTGAGGTATGTGCAAAGTGGCACACAGAATCTCGTTCACGGTTAAGAAGTTCAAGAGCAGCATACTTTGGCACAGGCCTGTGATCCCAGTGAAGTGACTTGGGAGCCCAAGGCAGCAACTTAGCAAGACTGTTCTAAAATAAATAAATAAATAAATAAATAAATAAATAAATAAATAAATAAATAAATAAATAAATAAATAAATAATAAAAAAGGACTGGGAATGTAGCTCAGTGGCAGAATGGCCCTGGGTTTAATCCCTGCTAATAAATAAATTAATTTTTGGTTTATTAATCTCTAATAGTGTCCTAAAATAATCTGGGGCTGGGGAGGTAGCTCGGTGGAGGAGTTCCCATTACAGACGGCCTGGATTCAATCCCCAGCATCACAAAAACAAAGCAAATCCCCTACATCATTTATACCGACATCTATTTCCCCTGGCTCTAGCGCACGGCCACCACCCATCGCCCCATTTGTTTTAATGGGCTCCCTAGGTTCTCAATTTGGGCAGAAAAGATTTATCAATAAAAATCTCCCTTCCACTCCTGCCCTGCCCACCCCTTCCCGGGGGAATTTGCGCTGCCCTAGAAGTAATCAACGGAAGTGTTTTGCTTCTTGTTCCTGCAGGTTCACATTTACAGGGCGGCGCCTAAAGTTGAGGTGCAGGCGATTCAGGCCTCGGCCCCACGCACAGGAAGTCTACTCACTCGCCGCCGCAGGTACTCCTTGAACCTTTTCTGTCCGGAAGTCCTGCGCGCCCCACCTGCTGACAGGTAGATTTGATTGAGTCCGCCCACTTCCGTCCCATGAGCCAATCGAGTACGTGTATGCAAATCAATCCAGTCTCCGCCCTACCCGACAGCCAATGGTTGCTCAGGTGCAGCAGGTCCGCCCTGTCCCGTCGCGAGAGAGCGTGCGGGGGTCTGCAAAACTTCTGCCCTCGAAAAAGAACTTTGGAAGCGCAGGAGCTGGAAAAACAAGGACGGCCATAAACTGACGAATAGAGACTGATGGCCCTGGAATCATGGTGACTGAAGCTTCAAGGATTGCTAGAGGCCATTGCGCTGGACCTCGCGACTGGCACTCTCCCTCCCTCCGCAATATTCCTGCCAGGTGCCAGGTGCTAGGTGCCAGGTGCTCGCACAGACTTTGGTGAACATGGAGAAAGCACCACCTACAGACATGGCCTGGCTGGTGTGAGAGCAGGACGCGGCTTCTTCAGAAGAGCCAAAGTCTGGCTACTGGGTGTGGGGAGAGCCCCTCCGAGGTGGGTTCAAGTCCCATCTCTACCACTTGTTATCTATGTGACCTGTCAAATAAATCCTGCTTTTCCATCTGGAAAATCGGAAGAATAACATTGCTCTCCTAGTTCTAATATGAGGATCGAGGTCGACAGCCTAGTCCAACGATCACAGTGTTTCTGGAGGCTGGGGCAGAAGGATCAGAAGTTCTAGGCCACCAACCTCAGCAACTTAGCAAGATCCTATCGCAATATATATATATATATATTTTTTTAAAGAAAGGTCTGAAGATGTAGCTTGTAGCTCAATGGTTAAGGGCCCCTGAGGAAGAGGAAGAGGAAGAAGAATGTATCTAAAAAGTGGCTGGGCGGTAGAGTGCCTGGCAGGCACCCTGATGTTCAGTCCCCAGCACCCAAGAAACTGACCAGCCAACCATCTCTTTGGATCTGAATGCTGGTTTTCTCAGTTGCTCTTGGTATGACCTTGCACAAATCATGTACCCTTTGAGTCCTATGAGTCTCACTTTCTTCAATGCTAAAGTAAGAATTACACGGGCTGCCATTGGAATTCAATGAGGTAAGGGTTCTAAGGCAGCTGGGCTCAGGGCCTGGCTACGGGTGGTGGCTCTGGCTAAAACTAAGGGGCTTCCTGGAACCCAGTTTCATCATCTGTCTTCTAGATATAACCATTCCTAGCTGGGCTGTCATGAGTTTTAGATGACTTGTGACACATGTTTATAAACAGAAAAACATCACACCCATGTTAATTAGTGACATGGTGATGCAGCCAGCACAGTGGAAAAAGCATGACATTGGCCTTGGCTCTGTCTTTTTATTTATTGTGTGACCTTGGACAAGTTATTTCACCTGCTGAGAGGTCAGGTTCCTCTCCTGTAATGAACCACCTTTACAGGGCCAGTGACAGCATTGGTAAGATGGCGGGGAAGGTGCCTGCTCTGTCCAGCAGGCAACAGACTATTTATTTATTTATGCTACTGGGGACTGAACCCAGGGGCTCTCTACCACTGAGCTACATCCCCAGCCCTTTTTATTTTTTTATTTTAAGGCAGAGTCTCCCTAAGCTGCTGGGGCTGGCCTTGGACTTGTGATCTCCTGCCTTAGCCTCCTGAGTTGTGGGGTCATAGGCATGCACCACGGCATCTGACACAGCAGACTTTAATGAAGTGTTATTACTAGAAAATTTTTCTTTAATTGCCTGGATTCTTGTTTCCAGTGGAATTCCTACTAAGATTCTACTTCTACTACCACTTAGAAGATTAAATATTGAAGGAAAAAAACTTCACCCAGTGTTCATTAACTACAAATAGTCATTGAATAGCTACTTTGTGTCAGATACTTTGTCCAAGAGGTTAGCAATTTTCTTGGAAAGAAAAAAAATATTTTACAGATTATAATTTCACAATAACTCAATAATTTTTGATATCTGAGAGTAAATTATCCTCCTCATTAACTTTGTGCATGCATGTGTGTGTGTGGGCGGGGGGGGGGGGTACGGTGATTGAACCCAGAGCTTCTCAACCACCAAACTATACCCACAGGCCTTTTTTTTTGGGGGGGGGAGTACTGGGAATTGAACTCAGGGGCACTCAACCACGGAGCCATATTCTCAGCCCTATTTTGCATTTTATTTATAAACAGAGTCTCACTGAGTTGCTTAGTGCCTCACTTTTGCTGAGGCTGGCTTTAACCCATGATCCTCCTGCCTCAGCCTCCTGAGCCACTGGGATTACAGGCGTGAGCTACTGCACCCAGCTACTCTCAGCCCTTTTTATTTTATTTATTAAAAAAAAAAAACAAACAGGGCTGAGGTTGTGGCTCTGCAGTAGAGTGCTCACCTAGCACATGCGAGGCACTGGGTTCAATCCTTAGCACCACATAAAAATAAATAAAATAAAATAAAGGCATTGCTTCCAACTACAACTAAAAAATATTTTTTTAAAAAATCTTTTATTTATTGATTTGTTTAATTTTATTTTGAGACAGGGTCTCACTAAGTTGTTTAGGGCCTTGCTAAGCTGATAAGGCTGGTGTTGAACTTGTGAGCCTCCTGCCTCAACCTCCCAAGTCACTGGGATTACAGGCACACTCCACCACATCCAGTTTATTTTAATTTGAGACTAGGTCTCCCTAAATTGCCTAGGCTGACCTTGGGATCCTTTTGAGCTTGTGACCCTCCTACCCCAAACTCCTGAGTAACTTAGACTGCAGGCAAGCCACCATGCCTGATGATCAGTAATCCTCTCTTTCAGAATTTTCCCTTTCTTGCAAATAAACTTCAGGATCACTTTGTCAAGCTTACTAAAGGCATTTGGAAGATGTGGGGTGGGGGTGGGGGTAATACTAGAAATTGAACAAAATGTTGGTATCAGTAAATTTTATATAAATAGTGGCACATGCCCATAATCCCAGTAATGTGGGAGGCTATATCAGGAAGGTCACAGCAACTCAGAAGCCTGAGACAAAAGGACCACAGGTTTGAGGCCAGCCTCAGAAGCTTTTGCAAGACCCTCAATAACTTAGGGAAACCCTGTCTCAAAGTAAAAAATGAAGAGGACTGGGGATATAGCTCAGTGGTCAGTGCCCCTGACTCAGTCCCAGTCCCCAGTAAGTAAATAAAAAGGTTTCCCAAATCAATAAGAAAGCAATTTTTTTTTGAGATGCTGTAGATTGGACCCAGGGCCTTACACATCTAGGCAAGTGCTCTATCACTGAGCTATACTCCTGGCCCCTTAAAAAATCCAATTTTTAAAATGGGTTAGGGAAATGAATGAACAATTTGCAACTTTTTTTTGGGGGGGGGGGGGGGGGTACCAGGAATTGAACCTAGGAGTTCTTAACCACTGAGCCACATCACTAGCCCTCGAGTGTATTTTATTTAGAGACAGGGTCTCCTAAGTTGCTGAGTCTGGCTTTGAATTCGTGATTTTCCTGCCTCAGCCTTTGGAGCTGCTGGATCACAGGCGTGCACCACCTTGCCTGGCCTATGCATTTTCTTTGAAGGTACAAAGGCAGAGACATGGCCCCCAAGGCCTAAAATACTGACTCTCTGGCTTCTCCGGAAAAAGCTGGCCAGCTCCCAACATGGAGATATCTGGCAAAACATATAATGTATATATTATAATTTATATTTTGTTCCAAAAAGGGAACTCTGGGAGGTGGGCATTGAGGGGTGGGGCATGCTGAGGAGAGACAACACAGCTCCCTCTCCATCCTTTTATTTTGGTACCAGGGATTGAGCTCAGGGGCACTCGACCACTGAGCCACATCCTCAGCCCTATTCTGTATTTTATTTAGAGACAGGGTCTCACTGAGTTGATTAGTACCTTGCCATTCTGAGGCTGGCTTTGAACTCATGATCTTCCTGCCTCAGCCTCCCGAGCCACTGGGATTACAGGTGTGCGCCACCACACTGGCTCTCCTTTCCGTCTTTTTTATGTTTTGGATTTTTATTATGGGCCTGTATTATTTTTCAGAAATATTAGACTTAAATTTAAAATTAGCTAAGTTATGTAAAATATGATAAATAACATAATAAAATTTAAAGTTAATTCTCAATCTCATGGTCTAGGCCTTGATGGAATTAGAAAACCCACCTGCCGACTGTCACCTGCTGTCTGCACGTGCTAGAATTTACCTTGGAAATCTGGAGTCATTTATTTTTCTCAGATCACCAGGAAAATTTTCCAAACCCCAACAAAAGTCACCTTGGAATGGAGTGGCCGTCCAGGGGATAAACATTCTCAAAGTCACTTCACTCTGAAGTCATGTTCTATGGAAGGAAATGACCTCAATCTAGAAGTCCTCGGGATGGATTTCCCTCTGCATCAGAGGTATTTAGGGACTCAGGCTGAGTCACTGCTCCCCATTGGGTTTGCTCGCCCACCCCGATAAGGACGAACACCTCACTAAGGAGCAATAGCTGCCCCTGCCCCCAGTCCCTAACATGACTACCCACCAGCCTGGCCAGCCAGCCAATTCACTCCCAGAGTTCTCTAGCTGTCCCTGGAGGCCTCTGGCCTTAGACTTTTCTATACATGAGCCAAAAAATCCCTTTTGATTCCAGACATTGGGACTCCTGCTCTTGTGGTGGCAGGTAGCCGGGGACAGAGTACTGGGGTCCAGAGGGGACCACTAGTCACTGTGAGTGTCTATTGAGGGACTGTGAGGGAGTGTGGGATGCTGACCTGTCCCTCTCAATCCAGGGACATGGGCAGCAAGGGCTGCACATGACAATAATCTAGAGCACCATCTTGGACATTTAGGATCCCCTTGGGTTTCCTCCCCAGGAGGTCATCAGGGGAAGTAATCACCAGACCAAGGAGGAAGCCCAGGTCCAGAAAGAGGACCTCACTTGTCTGAAGGCACCCAGAGTGGCAGAGCTGAGACGAAACTCATGCACTCTCTCCCAGCCAGCACTCTGCTCTGCCTGCGCAGCCTGGGTACAGCTAACCTGTGCCGGGCACAGCTGTAAGCCCCGGGCATGCCTTGCTCATGTGTCCCACCCAGAACTCTGGGGAGATGACCAGGACAACTGCACCTTACAGTTGAGCAAATAGGGCACCAGGGGGCTGGGGAACCAAGCCAGGGCCACAGAGCCAGGCAGTACCCAGGCCGGACTCGGGCCCAGGGAGCTTGGCTCCTTGGCCCCATCTGGCTCCAAGTTCACCCCTCATGCTCCTGGCTGCCGCATGTCAAGGTGAACGGGAGCCGGGGCCTCTGCCTTCCCCGGCAAGTGTGGCCTCTAGAGGCCAGGCTCTGTGTGGGGGGAGGTCCTCGGCTGCTCAGCTTTCCCACCATGTCGAGGCTCTGCAGGGAGGCCTTCCTGAACAGCCTTCAGAGCTCCCCGAGAATCCTGCTAACTGGAGGAAGTGTGGCAGCAGCGGTGGTCTCAGAACTTCTGGGGGTATACCCCAAAATGTTGAAAGTAGTGTCTCAAGAGATATTTGTACCCCTGTGTATAGCAGCATCATTTACACTTAGCCAAAGGATGGAATCAACCCAGGTGCTCACTGACACCTGAAGCAATGGGCTCTGTTCCTACCACAGATAGATTATTCGACTTTAAAAAGGAAGCCAACACTGCTGGGTGCGGTGGCACACTCCTGTAATCCCAGGGGCTCAGGAGGATGAGGCAGGAGGATCGAGAGTTCAAAGCCAGCCTCAGCAACAGTGAGGCACTAAGCAACTCAGTGAGACCCTGTCTCTAAATAAAATACAAAACAGGGCTGGGGGTGTGGCTCAGTGGTCCAGTGCCCCTGAGTTCAATCCCTGGTACCAAAAAAAAAAAAAAAAAAAAAGGGAATTCTAACACTAACACTTACAATAGCAGCATGGGTGAACTTTGAGGACATTTTGCTAAGTGAAATAAGCCAGCTATAAAAAGAGGTTCACCGCATGGTTCCACACTTAGGCACCTAGAATAGTCAAAGTCACACAGATGGAGAGCAGCGTGGTGATTGCCAGGGGTTGGGCAAAGGGGAATGGGATTTATTGTTTAATGGATACTGAGTTTCAGTTTTTTCTTTCTTTTTTCTTTGGTACTGAGGATGGAACCCAGGGGTGTTCAATGACTGGGCTATATCTCCAGCCCTTTTCATTTTTTATTTTGAGATAGGGTCTTGACAGGTTGTCCAGGCTGGCCTTGAACTTGTGATCCTCCTTCCTCAGTCTCCTGAATCACTGGGATTATAAGCATGCACCACAACGCCCAGTGAATTTCAATTTTGTTAACATGAAAAAATTTCTGGAGCTAGATAGTGCTGATATTTGCACAAAACATGCAGTCACTGATGCCACAGACCAGCTGGACAGTTAGTTAAGAGAGGGGCGGGGAGGTAGCTCAGAGGTAGAGTCTTGCCTAGCAAACACAAGAGGCTCTGCGTTCCATCCCCAGTAGCGCAGGGGGAAAAAGATTCAAAGATGGTTAAGGAAGAGCTGGGCATGGTGGCACACACCCGTCATCCCACTGATTTAGGAGGCTGGGACAGGAGGGTTGCTATTTGGAGGCCAGTCTCAGTAGTTTAGTAAGACCCTATCTCAAAACAAAAACTAATAAGGGCTGGGGAAACAGGTCAGTGGTGGAGTCCCACGGGGTTCGATCTCCAGCATCAGCACCACCAAAAAGCAAAAGACGGTTAGAATGGTGAATCCTACATCATGTTTTACCACAGTTCACCAAGTTTTTCTTTAAAAGAGTGGGCTTTGGAGACAATCTCAAATCCCAACCCTGCCACTCATGAGCTGAGTGCTCTTGGTCAAGTTGCTTTTCCTTTCTGTGTCTCATTTCCTCACCTATAAAATGAGGACAATAATAGCACTACCTTGATAGAATAGTGGCATGGTTTATTTGTATTTATTTCTGCTTTATTTATTTAGTGGTACTGGGAATTGAACCCAGGGGCACCTTATCACTGAGCTACATCCCCAGCCTATTTTATTTTTTTATTTTGCTAAGTTGCTGAGGCTGGTCTTGAACTTTGGATCACTTATTGCTTTAGGGCAGGACTGGATGGGAGAAAGAAGACCATGACTCTCTCTTCTCAGATTCTCAGTCTCCTTCTCCAAGATTCACCCACTGAGAGGTCCTGGGTGATTGGGAGGGGAAGAAACAAGAGCCAGGGAACAGGGTTCTTAACCCAGGATGCCCAAGGGCTGCTCTGCAACTTCGAGCCAGTTAGTTCACCTCTCTGTGCCAGTGTCCTCATCTAGGAACGGGATAAACTCCCGCCTCTCTCATGGAGAGAAGTGGGGACCATGAGGAAGGATGGCAGGGCACCCCCACATCTCCACGGCTCTCTCCTTCCACCAAGCCAGGGTGGAGCCGTCTGTGGGCTCCTTCCCAGGCCGCTGCTTGTTGGTGAAGGACCGGAGAACGCCGTCTCCAGGGACTGCAGCTTCGTTCCCTGTGACCAGGAAGAAAGTCCTTAACAAAAGGCCGCGGGGCCTCCGGGGTGTGCGGAAGAGCCTTTGCCCTCCTTTCAGGGCGTCAGTTGGGGGTCAAGGAGCCCCAGAGCCATAAATAAAAGCAGCAAAAATGAAACCAAAAAAGTGTTTACTCTGAGATGAAAGCGCCTGGCGACGCCCTGACCCCAAGGACGGTGTAGAGACCACGTGTCTGGGAGGCTCCGGATTGTCCCAATCTGCCAGGGTAGGGACTGCGTCCCGGGCCCGGTGCGCGGGGCAGGGCGCGGGAGGCAGCAACTGAACTCCGCCCTCCGGGCCCTTCCCCAGGGCTGGCACCTGGGGACACTGAGACGGCGGGAGACACCAACGCCTGCTCCCCCTGGCTCTGGCCCCGCCCACTGGCTCCTCCCGCCCCCGCCCCTCTACCGGCCTGGGACACCTTGGCCTCCCACCCACCCCAGCCTCACCAACTCCTGAGCTGAGCTGCAAGCTCTGAAGCTCTAGTGTGGGGCTAGGAGTGCAGACTTTGGAGCCAGGCTGACAAGGTTTGAATCCCAACTTCCCAGCTGTGCGACCTTGGATAGAGTCACTAATCTCCTAGTCTCCTAGTCACCTTCTCTGTAAGATGAGTAACAGCAGCATCTGCCTCATAGAGTCTGCCTGTCACCTGGTTATATCTATTCCAGTTACGCATTCTGGGACTGGGGACACAACCACACTTGGCCAAGTGTGAGGCAGACCTGACCTAAATGAGTCATCTGACCTCTAGGAGCCCCTACTCTGCCACGTGGATCACAGAGACATTTGGGGTCTCCAGGAATTAGTGATAGAACAGAGCCAGAAGAGTCAGAGGTCCCTCTGGGGAAGGTGGGAGAAGGATTTCCAGTAGAAGTTTTTTCAAGGAGGGCAGTTCCCCCCTAGAGGGGAAACCCCGTCTGTCTCCCCAGATGTCTGGTTGGTAAACTGGACCAAGTTTAGGAACTGACGGAGAGGCTGTGTCTCTATTTGGATGGTTCAAGTTGGACTCTGTTTATTTTCCCGGGGACTCACTGAATTGCTTAGTGCCTTGCTTTTGCTGAGGCTGGCTCTGAACTTGCCATCCTCCTGCCTCACCTCCTGAGCCTCTAGATTTCAGGTGTGCACCATCATGCCCAGTGACTGTGTTCATTTGACTTAAGATCCTTCCATTTCCTCTTACGCGCAGATCAAATAGGAATCTAGCAAGCTGCAGAGGATTTCTTCTCTAGGGACACTATCATCAACCAGCCAGTATTAGACTCTCGGCATTTAAACAGGATTTTAGTAGGTTGAGATGTGTGTGTGTGTGTGTGTGTGTGTGTGTGTGTTTGTGAGAGAGAGAGAGAGAGAGAGCGCAAGCTCAGATAGGCTTGGGTCATGATCCTTCCTCTGGACGCCCCAGTGCCTCTCCACGGGTGTGCACTCAGGAAATCGGGGATCTGCTGGACCCCTGCTCTCAGTGTGGTTGGAGTCCCCTCTAGATATACATGGTCACTCTGGTTTGGACACGACTGGGACCTGGGGCACCCAACATGGCCTCTCCACATGGAAACAAGAGCACTTCTGGGAAAGAATTTTACCGGAAGGTAAAAGAGAGGCCAAACATGCAAGGCTGCTTTGAGGCCCTGGACGCCGGCCAGAAGGGAGCTTTGAGGTTAATGAGCACAGAGCGGAGCGGCCTGGGTCACCCTGGACTATCTCCACAAGCCTTAGTAATCTGTTGCTAAGTACTAAATGTTGTTTTTATTAAGTTTATAAGGACTTCTAGGCACGTGGAGTTGAGTAGATGTAACTTTTGGGGTTTAGCAAATGGTCTTTGGGAGTTTTTGCAAGACTTCTTCCTTCCTTCCTTCCCTTCTTTCTTGGTACTGAGGATTGTTCTCAGGGGCGCTCTATCAATAAACTACATCCCCAGCCCGTTTCATTTTTTACCTTGAAACAGGGTCTCTCTAAATTGCTGAGGCTGACCTCCAACTTGTGATCCTCCTGCCTCAGCCTCCCTGGTCTCTGTGATCACAGTTGTGCACCACCGCGCCAAGAGAGTGTTGTCCCTTCTAATCTGTGATGGGTGTGAAGCTGTATCTCGCTGTTTTATCACTGTGAGCCTCGTGGCTGGCTTTCCTGCCGCATCATAAGTCGGTGAGGCAGCAGCCCTGCATGGAAGACCCAGGGCCCCGGGTCTGCCTCGTTTCAAACTTCTCTTCCACCTCCCAGTGGCTGGCCGGGTCCTGAGCTCAGGCTTGACTCCTGGGGAAGGAATCTCCACCACAAGCAAACACAGCCAGAGTGGCTCAGCTAGACTCAGAAGGAAGCCGCTGGCCAAGAGGAGAGTCCCAGGGGCCTCCCAGGAGCAGCTGGAGGGAATGAGAAGAGGTGGCCATTCCCACAGAACCCTTTGGCTGCAGAGACTGGCGTCTGTGCTCATCCCAAAGCCCCGACTCTACAGAGGTCAGGGAGCCCGGCAGGACTGTCAAGGGCTGGACTGTCAAGGAGCACGTGGCAGCTGCTGTCAGAGAGTCAGACTAAACAGGCCTTCCTTGGGTATATTATTATTATTATTATTATTATTATTACTTTTTTAACTGGGGACAAGGCAGAAGCCACATCCCCTGGAACTATTCTAAACAAAGGTCTCCTCGTGGGCTGCAGTAGAACCGGCTTCCAGGTCAAGGCTTTTCTGTTGGAAGTTTCAGTTTCTGCATCTGTGAAGTGGGGTCTGTAACAGTGCCTCCCTCACAGAACCTGAACTCATCTGTGGAAATGCTTAGGATGCCACCCAGCATGCGGGAACTCTAGACAGGTAAGCTCATCTGGGCAAATGACCAGGACGGCGTCAGGATAAAGCACTCTCTTACAGGTGCTCTAATGGCGGGAGAGCTCTCGCTCCAAGGCCAGTTTAAAATCCTGTGGTTTTGAGAATCTTTAAAGTAAAAGAAAGACGCTCTTAACATCTAGTGAGGGAGGGAACTAAGTGAGGTCGCCGTCCTGGTCTCTGGAGGGGCGGGGCCACTGTGAGGAACAGGAGGGTCAGGAACAGAAGCTGAGGGATGAGCGAGTCCCTGGGTCCATCCCAAGAAAACCACAGCCACGAGTCCCCTCCCCCAGCCAACCTCACACCGACCCAGAGGTCAAGGGGCTGGGGGTGGCGGGGACAGTGCTCACTGCACCAGCAAAGGGACTTATTAAGGACAGACGGGGCTGCTGGAACAGCATGGGATGTCACGCTTCACTAAGAGATGCTCTCCTTCCCCAGGAGATAGCTGGGCAGTGGCCGCAGGCTGGCAGGTCGCTCTGCAGTGACGGACACCTGGCTCCTTCTGTTTTGTTGTTCGGCCATTCCTGGAGGACTGCCTGACACATGTATTCTGCAGCCACAGGTGGCAAACTGGTTGTCACTCTAGGCAGAGAGAAGGGAGAAGGAGAGAGGGGCATGTCATAGCCAGCCTCCAAGACCATCCCCAGTGATCCTTGATTCTAGTGTAGTCCCTTCCCATGAATAGGGATGACCTGGGTAACATGAGGATATTTTTGAAAAAAGCAGAATGTGACTTCTAAAGCTAGGACATTGATGACGTTGCACTGTCCACCTTGCTCTCGAGGATGACTGGCTCTCTGGGAAGCCAGTCACGAGGATGCTCAAGCAGTCCTGGGGGGAGACACACACGGCAAAGAGCTGAGGCCTCCAACCAACAGCCGGCATTAAGTTAATAAATGTCTACTGTTGTTCTAAGCTGCTAAGTTGGGGAGAAATTTGTTAAGTAGTAACAGTTAACTGATTCAGGTCACCACTCAGAAATTGCACTTATCAGGGCTGGGGCTGGGGCTCAGGGGTAGAGCGCTTGCCTAGCATGTGCAAGGCCCTGGGTTCGATCCTTAGCACCACATAAAAATGAATAAATAAAATTAAGGTATAAAAAACAAAAAGAAATTGCACTGATCATTTTTTATATTTATTTGTAGATGGATGCAATAGCTTTATTTTATTCATTTATTTTATGTGGTGCTGAGGTTTGAGCCCTGGGCCTCACACATGCTAATCAAGTGCTCTACCACTGAGCCACAACCCAGCCCCCTGCACTCATAATTTTTTTTTAAATTTTTTAGTTGTAGATGGACACAATATCTTTATTTTTATATGGTGCTGAGGACCAAACCCAGGGCCTCATGCATGCAAGGCAAGTGCTCTACCACTGCTATCACCCCAGCCCATGAACTCATCATTTTTATGCATGTTTATTGGCCTTGATGTAGCCACAGAGCCAAGGGTAGCTGAAGGGAGTCTGGGAAATGTAGTCCTTATTTGGGGAGCCTGTGCCCAGCTAAAACTCCTATGACTCAGATCCTTATTTAATCATATCATCAAAGTCCCTTTTGCCACATAAGATAACATATTGACCACTTTCAGGGATTAATACTGGAAATCTATACTGTCTAGCACAGTGAGGAAGCTTATATCTGAATGCCCACTGCAGCTTTATTTGTAATAGCCCCAAACAGGCCAAATGCCTTCAATGGATGAATAGTTAAACAGTGGTATATCCATACCATGGAATACTACTCAGCAATGAAAAGAAATGAACTCTGGGTGTATGTGACATGGATGGACAGCAGGAAAACTGCTGGATGAAGCAATGTGTCACTTACATGACACTCCCGGAATAGCACCATTCTGGAGATGGACAGCAGAGCAAGCGGCCAGGGGCCGGGAATGGGGGTTAGAAGGTGGCCATGGAGAGGCCCCTGGCCATGATGATGCAGTTGGGACCTTGGTTGCAAAGGTGGTCACCTGAAGCTACACAGGGGCTAACATTGCTTGGGGTCACATGCACGCACGCACAGAGACAGATGCAGGTTTGGAAAAAGTCTAAATAAGCTCTCCGAGTTGTACCAAGTCACTTTCCGGTGGGGTGTGAGATCTTACCGCGGTTATTTGCATAACCATGGTAAGGGCGGGAGGCTGGGTGCAGAGTGTCCTGGTTCCCCCTGTACTTGGTACATTGCAATTTCCTGTGTCTATAATTATATCAAAATAAAGAGTTGAATTATTATTATTTTTTTTAAGTGCTAGACTGAAGCTCAGAGACCTCGTGTCTAGATTCCAGCCCTGATTCCTTCCCCGACTTGCCGGCAAGCCCGAGGCAAACCCTTGTCTTCTCTGGGATTCCATCAGACCATCCATGAAATGGGGGTTTTGGCTCCCATCACAGGTTTCAAGTGTTTCTGCCTAACTGTGAACCCTTTGTTCAGAAAACAGCTGGAGTGCAGCTTAGTGGTGGAGCACCGGCCTAGCACGCGGGAAAATTCCCATCTCCTGCACTTAGAAAAGAAAGAGGCCTTACATTGGAGCAGGCAGTTAGCACCCCAAGGGTGACCTCAGTTGGACTTGCTGCCAGCACCCATGATCCTTTACTGGGGGCCCTTCCTAGCTGCCTGCACGGCTCCTAGCTGCTCCCCCCAGCGCAGCGAGCTCTACTGGACTGTGGGGGGCCCCCTGCCTGTCCCACCTGCCCACTCTTCCCTGGATTGTCTGGGGTCCCAGTCCCAACCAACCACTGCATTCAGATCCTCCTCCCTGGGTTATGTCACTTGAAGCTCAGTCGCAGTCCCCAAAGGCCAAGGAGATGCCAGCTGTGGCCCCAGGAGCAGTGGGTCAGTGCAGCTGAGCCGTGCGGGGGACTTGGGGGGCAGCATGGGTCCAGCCTGAGGGGAGCCTCCTGAACCAAGGCAGAGGCAGCGGCAGGACCCAAGATGACGGTTCCCATCCTCCACAGTGACCAGTCCCTCAGGGGCACTTCTCTCCGTATCTTCCCCTTTCACCCGAGACCATGTTCCTCTTTTGACCAAGAAAGTGATCCAAAAAGGACTGTGGTCACTTTCTTATCAGGCCTGTGGTAGGGGCAGTGGACACGTTAGGTCCTTCAACCCCCAGGGCCACAGGCGACTGTTCCAAGGGGGACACCCAGCTCCCCGGGGGTTGCAGTCACCAGCCAATCCCTGAGGCAGACAGAAGGAGGAGCCCCAGCCAGGGTCCCAGCCAGGCAGAGTGGTCCTCCTCCGGAGGCCGCACCAGGGGGGGCCTCAACCCCCTGGGTCTTTGTCCTTCTGGGCATCTTCAGAATTTCCTCTTGAGAGTCTTCAGCAGCATCCCACAGAGGATCTCGGGACAGGATATGTAAAAGGGCCTCACAGACCCCAAACCATAAACAATGGTCCTGCTCAGCAGCGGGTTATTGTTCTAGGGCTTCCTGAGGGCAAAGCCCTGTCCTTATTCCAGCTGTGTCCCAGAGCCTGGCACAGAGCCTGATGCATGGAGGGCACAGACACCGCCTGCGATAGATGGACCAGTGAACGGAGGGCCGGCTTCGGATACGTCACCTGTCACCTGGTGCAACCCCTCAGTATAACAGAGCATGGCTCCAGCCCTGTGATATGGCAGGGGTGGGTGGGCTCAGGGAAATCATAAATGATAAGACGGGATTTCTCATCCTCAAGAGCTGACAATGAGCCGGGCACCGGCTGCACACCTGTAACCCCAGTGGCTCAAGAGGCTGAGGCAGGAGGATCGTCAAGTTCAAAGCCAGCCTCAGCAACTTAGTGAGGCCCAAAGCAACTTAGCAAGACCCTGTCTCAAAATGAACATTAAAAAGGACTGGGATGTGGCTCAGCGGCTAAGAGCCCTGAGTTCAATCCCAGGTACCAAAAAAAAAAAATGCTGCTGGCCACTTATGGGGAGCACCCTACCCCTCACCTCCCCTCCAGGCCATGTATTCACTCCTGGGGTCCCCGCCCCCCCAAGAGGACTGTCTGCTCAGAGGGCACAGCTCCTGCTGCCTGGGGTGCTGAGCTAGGCAGTCCCACCTCTTGCTGGTCACACACTGGTGGCCCCTTCCCCTGGAACCCTACAGGGCCATAATATGCTCCTGACCCACAGAGAGCAGCAAAGGTGACGGCTGTGCATCGCGCCTGTAGGTCACCACCCGCCGTGGCGACATTGCTTATGTAATGCTCTTCCCAGGAGCAGCCCTGGCCGGCGCTGAGGAAGTGGGCAGCAGTGCGAGGCCTCTGGCCCACACCAGCAGGAACCGAGACTCTCAGTCGGACAGCAGCAGGGAGCCTGTGAGCCGAGGGGGATCCTCCCTGTTGAGCCTCAGAGGAGCCTGCCCCGGGCAGGTGGATCACTGCCCAGTGAGGCCTTAAAGCAGAGCTCCCACTCCGCTGTGTGAACACCTTTCCTGGCCCACAGAAACTGTGAGGTAATAAATGTATGTTGTTTTAAGCCACTGATTTTGTGGTGATTTGTCATGGGACAATTGATGATCTGCCAGGGTAGTTTCTAGTTTCAGGTATGGCTGGATCCAGGAGCTCCTTCCTCCTGAAGTGCCCTTTTCCCTACTCACTACCAAGTCCGTCTTCTTTGGTGGAGTAGGCCTGGGGTCCAGACACTGGCCTCTGGCTCCAGGGCTTGACACATGACCCGGGATTCAGCCAATCAGAACTTTCATTCATTTAGCTCTCAGTGATAGCTTCAGGCACCAGTGTGTAGCCTAAGCTGGCACACACAGGGTGAACGCTGGACTTTCCCTGAGTATGTACAAGGGCCTCACAGACCACAAACCATAAACAATGGTCCTGCTCAGCAGCGAGTTATTGTTCTAGGGCTTCTTGAGGGCAAAGCCCTGTCCTTATTCCAGCTGTGTCCCAGAGCTAAACTAATAGAATATACCATAGCTCTGGGGGTCATTTGTGTCCCTGTGCAGAGAGGACCCGTATTACAGTGGAAGGAAACTGAGAGGAGGTACCGAGGGAGGCAAGCCCTCTCGATATTGCTCACTTGAGCACCTGGATCCAGCCATAACTGAAACTAAAAACCTACCCCTGGATATTGCCCATATATGAGTCAATAAATTCCATTGTTCCTTTAAGCCTATTGAGTCAAGTTCCTGTCCTTGCAAAAGAGCGAGTTCTGATTAATGCACTCATCTCCGCTGTCTCTCACCCAGCATTTGCTTTTACCCTCTCCCATTTTTTCTTCTGTCTTATTATTTTTTTATTTTTACTAGTAGTTTTGGCAGGGCATGGCAGCACACGTGGGTAATCCCAACTATTCAGGAGGCTGAGGCAAGAAGATGGCAAGTTCAAGGCCAGCCTGGACGACTTAGGGAGACCCTGTCTCCAAGTTCAATAGTAAGAGGGGTGGGGTGGGGTTCAGTGGCTGAACAGCTGCCTAGCATGTGCAGGGCCCCAGGTTCCAGCCCCGCTCTCCCCTAAAGACAGAAAAGAAAGATTCGAAGCACTTTTTAAAAACTCTGTCTTGTGCCAGGCACGAAGCCTTGTGCCCAAACCACCAACTGCCTTTTGAACCCAAAGCAAAGAGCAGAGCTGTTCTGGGCACCTGCTGCGCCCGGGTGCCTGCGAGCTCCTTCTTGCTTAGGGAACTCAGGCGGGAACAGAATGCCCTCTGCCTGGTTTCACTAGAGGGGAATGTACTGAAATGGCATCTCCACACTTGAGGGGGCACCCCATTCCCTGGGTGGGGGCTTGTTAAGAACAGACGCTGCCCCCAGCTCGTGGTTCACTAGGTGTTAGATTTGAAAGGGCCGCCGAGTCCCCTGTGGGAACCTATTCCTCAAGGCCACAGTGTGGAGGTGGAGCCCGGAGGGAGGCTCTGGGTCCTGGGGAGCGGACTGCTCAAAGCAAGGCTCTCCCTGTGCTCCCTTCCTTCCCAGGCGCCTGCCTGTCCTGCGGCTTTCTCTCTTTCTTATTTATTTATTTATTTATTTAGGTATTGGGGATTGAACCCAGGGGTGCTCAAACCACTGAGCCACATCCCCAGCTCGTTTTTTTTTTTTAATTTTTTATTTTGAGACAGGATCTTGCTAAATTGCTGAGGGCCTTACTGAGACTGGCCTTGAACTTGCTCCTCCTACCTTAGCCTCCCGAGCTGCTGGGGTTACTGACATGCACCACTGCGCCCGGCATTGTTCTGCTGCTTTCTATCATGAATTGAAGCAGCACAAGGGCCTCACCAGTCAAGCAGGTGCTGGCTCCATGCTCTTGGACTTCCCCAAAGCATGAGCCACAATAAACCTCTTTTCTTTATAAATAGGTACTACTCAGGAATTCTGTTATAGCCACAGAATATGGTCTGAGGCAGGCCCAAGAATGTGCATTTCTAACAAGTCCCTGGTATTGCTGACAGCTTGCTAACTGCTGATCTCTGGGCCATACTTGGAGAACCGCGGAACTAAATGCTATCAAGAAAATTATAGACCTGTTATCCTGCGGCTCTGGAGGCTGAGGCAGGAGGATTGCAAGTCAGCGATTTAGTGAGACCCTGCATCAAAATGAAAAATAAAAAGGATGGGGACTTAGCTCAGTGGTTAAGCGCCCCTGGGTTCAATCCCCAATACACAAAAAAAGGAAAAAAGGAAAAGAAATTAAAGAACTAGTAAGGATCGCGGCTGGCTGCTGGAAAGGACACCTCACAGAGGCTCCGGGAGGGCAAGGGGCAAAGAGGCTTGTCACTGTTGCTGGGCACGCCCACCCGCGGCTCGAGGGCCAGAAGCTGACAGGGTGCCACGGTGGCAGCCAAGGCCCAGCACCATCTGTCTAGGAAGCTCACGGACCTGCCTCTGCAAACCAGGTCTCCCACGTGCTGTCACTTCTGAGCGGCAGCCTGCCTCCGGCCTGCTTCCCCAGCGCAGTCTAGGAAGGAAGGAGAGGTCACCACTGGGAAATTCCCCAACACAGGAAGGGACTCAAAAAGTGCCAGGCAGCCACGGAGCCAGACAAACACGGCACCCAGACTTGGTTTGCTTCTGGACACTCAGGAAAACTTACCTGTGGTAAAAATGTCATTCACTGCTCCTCGGGGCCCTCTGAAAGGGGACACGTTTTTGTTTTTTGTTTTCCCAGGGATCAAATTCAGGGGCACTTTACCTCTGAGCTACATCCCAGGCCCTTTTTTAAATTTTTCATTTTGAGACAGTCTAGTTAAGTGGCTGTGGCTGACCTCCAATTTGCAATCCTCCTGCCTCAGCCCTCCCAAGTCACTGGAATTACAGGCATGTCCCTGACTGAAAGTTTTTTTTTTTTTTTTAAACATTTATTTTTTAGTCGTAGTTGGACACAATATCTTTATTTCACTTTTTAATTTTTATGTGGTGCTGAGGATTGAACCCAGGGTCTCACATGTGTGAGGCAAGCGCTCTACCGCTGAGCCACACCCCAGCCCCGAGAAAGGGTTTTTTTTTTTAACTACTGCGGATGATGGAGCCCAGGGCTGCTTTACCACTGAGCCACATCCCCAGCTCTTTTTGTTCTTTATTTTGAAACAGGGTCTCACTGATTTGCTAGGACCTTGCTAAATTGCTGAGGCTGGCTTTGAACTTGTGACCCTCCCATCTCGGCCTCCAGAGCTGCGGGGATTACAGGCTGCACCGGCATGCCCGGCGCGGGGTGGGTAGATCTCAAGGAGGGTCTCTGTTGACTTCGAGGGTAATAGTGGTGTTCTCTGCCAGGTGCTCTTGTTAATGCTTTGAATATATCAACCCATTTGGTCCTCACAGCAGCCCTTTCTAATGAGCGTCTGAATATCAGCCCATTTGACAGATGAAGAAGTTGAGGCCCGTGGAGGTGAAGCTGCTCCTGGAGACCACGCAGCTAATAGGAGGGGGGGGCTGAAGGGGAGCCCACGTGGCCTGGCTCCTTGGCAAGATGCTGAACCCCTTCCTGGTGGGGCAAGAAGGTTCCAAGAGCTCAGAGACCTGAAGAGTTCTGGGTGAGAGACGGCAAGGTAACAGAGGCCAAAGTCAGAGCCAGGGAGACCACAGGGCAGCCTAAAGCCAGCACGTGGGGCTGAGCTGGTGTGAGGGGTTCCTGGGGAGAATGGGGAGGGCGATGCGTGTGGAGTCTTCTTGAACTGTCAAAGTAACTCTCCTTAAAACCCCCAAAGTCTCACCACTCCCTGAAGACTCATGGGGTTGTTTTTGCACATGGGAGAGGATCTAAATCCCTTCGGTTCTCCTAGGTAGGCACAAGGTTGAGAACAAAATCTCTTTCTGCCGCATTTGGAATATCCAAGGCTCAGAGAGGGGAGGCCACTCGGCCAGGGTCACACAGCAAGTCTGTTCCTTCAGCCTGAGCCCAGCTCTTCCTATTATAAAACCTGAATGGTTGGTTTAATGTTTCTATGCACATTTGAGAAGCTTCCCTGTTGCAGGGGCATCCATGGAGACCCTTAACAATTTCTGAAAGGACTTGGGGGAGGCTGGGCTGGGGTCTTCCCAAGAATGTGTCATAAGTCAAGGCTTCAGGAGAATCGATTTCCTGCCTCGAGAGCCAGCTTCCTGGAGGTCCAGTGGCCAGGCTGACACCTGCCGAGTCTCTGAGGCCACAACAGTGAGGTTTCTTACCCAGTTGGCTGTGCCCGTGCGGCTCAGCCCAGCCCCGGGTCTCACCTGGAGCCACTGAACAAAATCTGCCCTCGGGTTTTCCTTTTTTCTCTGGGCTTCTTGACCCACCCTTCTCTGTTCCACTCTGAGCCTCTGTCTCTGTCTCTGCATTTTTCCTGTCTAATTTTCCTTCATTCTCTCTCTCTCTCTTCTTTTTTTTCCTTTAGTACCAGAGATTGAACCCAGCCTTACCCACTGAGCCACATCCCCAGCCCGTTTTGTATTTCATTTAGAGTCAGGGTCTTGCTAAATTGCTTAGGACCTCGATAAATTGCTGAGGCTGGCTTTGAACTAGAAATCTTCCTGCCTCAGCCTCCCAAATTGCTGGGATACAGGCTGCGCCCCCACCTGGCCTTCTTTTGTTCCTCAGACTCTTCTCCTGCCTGTTCCCCTGGGCATCTGACCTTCTCCGTTTCCCTCGTCTCTGGTTCTTTCTTCTTGGTCTCTCTTTTCTGGATCTCACTGTCCTCTCTCCTCGGCCTCCCGTCCCCTTTGCCGGGTCCCCCACCCCTGCAGCTCGGGACTGAGACCCAGCAGGCCTTCCAGGAGGGCTCCCCAGGGGCCAGGCGGGAAGGAGGAAGAGCAGTTTCTCCTCTGACCTGTCAGCTGGCCTTGGGGGCTGGGCTTCCCCTCCCACCCTGTGCACCCTGTCCACCCTGCAGCCTGGGCAGGCTCCCTGGACTCAGGGTAAAGCTGACTCACTTTTGAGGGGCTCTGACGACAGCCCCCGCCGTGGGCTGCCCCAGGAGGCGGTGAGGAGGGGCTGGGTGAGCAGGGGAGAGCCCCAGGTCTCTGGCACTGAGTCCAGGGAGAGAGCACCCCAGGCCACAGTGCTTCCCTGGAAGACGGAAGGACATAAGGACAGACAGCTGGGGCTGGGGGCTGGGAGCAGCAAGGAGTGAAGCTGGGGGAGGGGCTTCCGGCCCAGGGGGTGGGGGGAGCCACCCCATCAGCACCAGCACTCTTAGGTCTTAGGTCCCCCTGCCCCAGCCCGGCCGACCTGTTAGGAGGCACCTGAGTCAGAGGTCCTGGCTCCACGGCCACCTGGTGGCTGTGTGTCCTTAGGTACCCTCCAGGCCACCCCCAGCCTGTTTTCTTCATGGATAAAATAAAAAGGCAGGGACATAGCTCAGTGCCACAGCATGTATTTAGCAGCCCAAAGCCCTGGGTTCCATCTGCAGCAACAAACATTAAAAATAAAGGACTTGCACAATTGGATGGGGAGGGTGCTGGGTGCAGGGAGGAGTGGGAACCAACATTTGCTGATTCTTGGTTGCTACCAAATGGCCACACACCTGGTAATTTAAAACTACGGGGAGCCCGGCACTGTGGCGCATCCGGTAATGCCAGCAGTTCTAGAGGCTGAGGCAGGAGGATCTGAAGTTCAAGGCCAGCCTCAGCGACTTACTGAGGCCCTAAGCAACTCAGAAAGACCCTGTAAACAAAATACAAAAAAGGGCTGGAGATGCAGCTCAGTGGTGAAGCACCCCTGGGTTCAACCCTTGGTACAAACTACTACAATAGAACAGGAAGGTACCATCTTTCAGTGGGGGGTGGTGTGTGTGCGGGGGTCAACAGGTCTCAGGAGCCACAGGTAAGGCAGAGGCTGCTTGGTTCCCATGGGCTCCTGACTCGGGAGGATCTGCCTCCTTGTCTTTGCTGGCTGCTAGAGGCCCTTCTTCTGTCCTCAGGGACACCAATGCCACACTCTTCTGACCCTCCTCTGTCCCCCTCTTCCATGTTTAAGAACACTTGTGACGACACAGGAAATCTGGGAAATGTCCACGCGTGGAGGGCAGCTATTCACGACCTTGACTCACCTGCGACCTCCATGCCAGAGCCCAGCTGCCCACGGTTCCTGGTTCCTGGAACTCGGGTGAGAAGCCCTCGGGGCCACGCTTTGTGTTCTTCCAAGGCCTGTGGCCTGGCTGCTTTATTTTCCCTCCTGGATGAGGGGGATTCAGTGTGAAATAAAACCCATGAGGATGTCAAGGTCATGGTCACACTTGACCCTTAAGAGATGAAGCTGAGCCAGTGTGGTGACCTGAGTTCCCAGCCAGCCTCAGCAATGGCGAGCTGCCAAGCATCAGAGAGACCTGTCTCTAAATACCAATCAAAGTAGGGCTGGCGAGGTGGCTCAGGGGTCCGGTGCCCGACTATCAATGACAGAGAGAGAGAGACAGAGACACACGGACAGATATGACAGAGATGAAGCTGAAGTCCAAATCCAGGTGTGAGCTCACAGCCCACTCTTTCCACTCTTTCTCACCCCCCTGATCCCAACCCTCTGAAGCCCCGGGAAGGTCCGGTGGGCTCAGTGGTAGAGCGCAGGCCTGGCACACGTGAGGCTCTGGGCTCCGCCCTCGGCACTGGAAGGACGACAGGGTTTACATCACCTGATTGGCACGGGACCCTCAGGCATGCACAAAGCAAAATGCTGAGGGCAGTGGGAGACAGAGAGTCAAGTACAGTGGGGCACCCCCCTACCGCCACCCCCATAGCTGGGTGGGGATTCATGCTGGGGGTCTTGGTGCCAGGGGCTGGTCTTAGGTTCAAAGCCAGGATCCGCCTCTTCCTGAATGTCCTTGAGCCTTTGCTTTGTCACCTGCAAAGTGAGAACAGCAATGTCCCTACTTCATGGATAGAAGGTCCTGAGGACTGAATCACCTAATTCGGGTGCTTTACCACTGAGCCACATCCTCAGCCCCCCCCCCCCTTTTGGGTGTTGCTGGGGATTGAACCCAGGACCTTGTACATGCTAGGCAAGCTCTCTGCCAACTGAGCTATGTCCCCAGCCCCACACCGTAGCCCTTATATTTTATTTAGAGACAGGGTTTCTCCACATTACTTAGGGCCTCACTGAGTTGCTGAGGCTGGCCTTGAATATGCAATCCTCCTGCCCCAGCCTCCCGAGTCACAGAGATTACAGGTATGCACCACCCTGTCCTGCTAGAAGCAGTTATGATTACTGTGCTTGGGCTGAGGATGTGGCTCAAACGGTAGTGTGCTCGCCTGGCATGCGTGCGGCCCGGGTTCGATCCTCAGCACCACAAACAAACAAAGATGTTGTGTCCGCCGAAAACTAAAAAAAATAAATAAATAAATATTAAAAAAAATTCTCTCTCTCTCTTAAAAAAATAATTACTGTGCTCTTTTATAATTACGGCCATTTATTATCGTTATTGTTGTTGGGATTCCAATCTGGGTTTGGGAGGAGACAGCAAGACTATGAAGGTGACAGCCTGCAGGTGCATTCCTTTGAGGGGGGAGCGCCCCTTGCTCACAGGAATCCCTCCCTGTGGGTGTCTCGGTTGCTCCAATGACATGACAAGAGCCTCTTATTCTGATGGGACCAGAACGTGCCCCGCTGGCTTCTGGGCCTGTGTGAGGGTCGATGGAGTCAGGTGCCACTGTGTTTCTTCAGGTTGTCAAAGGCCACCCAGATACAGAGACCTGGCACTCTCGTCATTTTCTCAGGAACTGTCTAAAGAGGGTGTCACTTGTGCCTAGTGGGTGGGTCACTGGGATGGGTCACAGAGGACCACTGCCATGCTGATCCTCTGACAGGCCAGGGGGACAGGCGACTGGTGTGTGAGACTCAGAGTGCTCAGGTGACCTGCCCAGGGTCTCCTGGTTGCAGGGTGGTGTTAGGGTCTGGGTAGGAAGGACTCTCCATCCTGGCTCAGAGTCCTACTGTCCCCTGCTCATCACGCTTCTGGACTGGACTGAGCAAAACCTCAGATAGGACTGGGCGCCCACTGCCCCGCTGATCTGAGCAGAGGCCACCCGGAAATCTTCCTGCCAGAGGGCTCTCCAGTCAGCTAGCCCAGGGGCTTCCAGTGTATCTGTCAGCAGCAAACCGTTTCTCCAAAGAACGTCCTACCTGGAAGTTCCATAGTCAGGAACATGTCCTCTAAGGCGCCACCTGACCTGGACCCTGCCCACCTGTCTGGGCCCGTCTTCCTGTGCCCTGCCCTTCAAACATCTGCTATTCACCAACCCTGCCCAGGCCTTTACCCCCCTGGAGTCAGTGTGCCCTGCGCTTACAAGCAGGAACTCTGGAGTCCATATACCGATCCTTGTATTTTCTGCTGTGTGTCCTTTGGTAAGTTACTTACCCTCTCTGGCTTCAACCCATTCATCTGTGATACGTTACAGTCCCAGGGCTGTGTGCAGAGCAGATGGGAGTCCATGGACCTGATCTATAGAGCACCAGGACCCCCTGCTCCATTTCCAAGCTCACCTTTCGCATCACACAGCTGAGGTCACAAATGTGGCCCCTCCCCGCGGCCTTCTCTACTGCCTGCCCTGTTGCTCTTATCCCAGGGCCAGAGCATCTTAAGCCCCCTGAGAAGGAGTGCAGGAGGCCTCCTCTGCCAGGCCTCAGAAGGTTCCAAATTGTTTGCTAAAACCACAGCCCAGGGGAGGTCCCAGCAAGAGGATCTGGAGCTGGGCAGAGATCCGGGCTCTGGTTACTGGGGTGGGGGTGGGAGGCGGTGGGAGCCTTAAACAAGGAAGTCACCATGGGGTGGGGGTGGGGTGGACAGAGGGAGGCCGGAAAGAACCTCCCCCCGGCTGAGGTGGCGGGGCTGGTGCCGCCCAGGCCCCTTCTGGCCCCAGCTCCTTGGTGGGGGCCATCCCTTCCTGTCTCCCCAGACCTTGCTCTGAAATGCCTCCTCCTAGGGCCTCCTGGCCTAGCCCAGACCCAGCTCACTCATCCAGTGGCCATTTATGATGAACAGGAGCCTCTCCACTAGATGTGGAGGCCATTTGGAGATGGACAGCTTGTGCATGGGGAAGGGTCCCCAGGGCCCAGCCCGACCACGGGACTGGTCATTCGACTTGGCTTCCCCCCCCTCCGTAGTGGGGACTGAACCCAGGGGTGCTCCACCGCTGAGCCACACCCCCAGCCCTTTTCATTTTGAGATAGGGTCTTGCTAAATGGCCCAGGCTGGCCTTCAACTCAAGAGCCTCCTGTCTCAGCCTCCCGAGTTGCTGGGATTCCAGATGAGAGCCACCATACCTGGCTTCCAGCACCGCTGGGTCCACTGTCTTCTGCAGAGACCTCACCTTGCACTCAGGTCTCAGCCCGCCCTCCCCTGGGGTCTGTCCCCAGCTCTTCTGCTCCCACCCCACCCCCCCACACTCCTGTGTTTGCTCAGCTGCTCTGGGGAGGGAGGAGGGGAGCCTGCACTCCTCAGGCCCGCAGCAAGGTCAGCTGGGCCAGCTTCTGGGTTTCCGCCACCCACAGAGGTGGGTTGTGAGCAGTCTGCAGTGTAGACCCTGGACGCCAAGTGGCCCTTGTATCAGCCAGAAATAGAAGGGACAGATTATGCAGAGAGAGGGATAGGGATGGAGGCAGAGAGAGAGAGAGAGAGAGAGAGAGAGAGAGAGAGAGAGAGAGAGAGACCTACACCTACTGCGAGGAACGGCCTGTGGCCCTGTGGCTGTGGGCTGGCTCTGGGGCAGGGGCAGCTGGCAGGCAGAGGCTGGGCCACGGCTGGAACTCCTTCCCATCTCAGCCCTTCCCGGAATCACTTCCGCAGAGCCCTCTGCCGTGTGCCACAGCCCATCCACAGGTTCCAGGGACAGGACGTGGACATCTTTGGGGGCCATTACCCATCCCTGGCCTTTCCCATTAATTCATTTCTGCGAAGGCCCGGCCTGTGCCCAGCACCGGGGAAGCGGTGAGCAACCTGCAGCCCGGCACTGGAGAGGCCACCATCTGGGGACCAGGCAGCCAGGGGATGCGGTATGTGTGGGTGGGGGACAGTGACACAGGACAACACAGGGAAGTCACTTCTCCTCTGACTCCTTATTGGCAGGGAGGGAGGGGCCAGGTCATATGAAAACGAGGAGGAGGGGGAGGAGGGGGAGGAGGAGGGGGAGGAGGGGGAGGAGGAGGGGGAGGAGGAGGAGGAGGAGGAGGAGGAGGAGGAGGAGGAGGAGGAGGAGGAGGAGGAGGAGGAGGAGGAGGAGGAGGAGGAGGAGGAGGAGTGCGCTGCAGAATTCACCAGGTTTCCCAAGAGCCGGCTGCGTCCTGGACCCCTCCCGCGCCCCAGCGGCTCCTTTGGCACGCGGGCGCTGCCCAGGTTTGGGGACTGGAGAGGCTGAAGCCAGAGCCGGACCGAGACTGGGGCCCCGCTGGCCAGGCTCAGCACCGAGCTGGCAGGAGAGGCCCCGCGGCTCCCGGCCCGGACACCTGGGGGCGGGGCCTTGAGGCGACCCCTCCCCCTGCCTCTGGGGGCGGGGCGACTCCTGCCCCAGCTCCTTCCAGCTCGTGCTGGGGTGGGGACTTGCACTACAGGGGACAGACCTAGCCCCCTGAACACGTCCGGACGCTAGTGGGACTTTAATCTCCCGTGGGCGGGGCTCTCTGCAGGGCTGGGGACGGCGGGACCAGGCGCCCCGAAATCAGACTCGGTTCCAGTCCTGATCCATCGCTTACAGCCGAGGCCGGGGCTCTTCTCCCTCTCCTATCAGATTAGTCATTCCCACCCTTCCTCCTGGTTTATGGCCCTCATCTTCTGCCCACACTGACAAAACCCGTTACTCCACCTCCTGCACCACACCGTCCTCCGTCCACCGTCCCAGAAACATACCCAGGAAGTGTCTGCTTGGCCCACTTCAGGGTCCCCAATATCTCATGCCAGGTGTGACAAATGGTAGGGGCACAATAAATATCCCCTTTCCTTCTAACCAATATGCATGGCCAGTCATAGGCTCAGACTTAGACAAAACTTTTCCCACTTGACAGCTGAGCAAAGTGAGACCCAGGGAGGTTAAGTGAGTTGCCCAAGGTCACACAGCAAGTAAATGACTAAGCTGAGGTTGGAATTAGTTCTTCTAGGCTCCTTTAGCTTGACCCCAAATATTGAAGTGTAGAGGGACGGAGACAGGAAAGGGGAAGGGGGTTGAAGAGAATGCCGGGACAGCAGAGACATCTGGGAGAAACCCAGTCACCGTGGACACTGGGCATCGAAGGTCAAGTGAGCAGGCACCAGCAAGGCTTTGTCTTCATCTTTGGGCCACAGGCACCAGAGTGTCCCGGCTCTGAGTTCTTGTAAAGCTAAAGCGGCCCCAGAGAGAGGGCTTGTCACCACTACTCGGTTTTCTCGTCTGAAAAATGGGCACATACATGTTAATTGGGGTTAGTAATCCAGGGGAAGGGTTTGAGCCTTGGAGTTACACTCATGTGGGTTAAAATCGTAGCACTGCCACTTCCTGGTCGGGAGGGTCTTGACAAATAATGACATGGATTGCCCCTCTGAGCCTTGGTGTCCAGCTCCAAGATGTGGGACTGCTGGGCTTATCTTCACAGGTCCAGGAGGGAAAAGTTACACACAGCCCCCGGCATGGTTGACAGTGGAAGCTGTCATTATTACCACCATCGGCTGGGCTGTTTGGAGTTCAGACCCAGCACCGAGCAACCCAGCACCAGGTACCCAGCACTGAGCAACCCAGCACAGAGCAACCCAGCACCAGGTACCCAGCACTGAGCAACCCAGCACCAAGCAACCCAGCTGGGAGACGGCTCCCACTGTGTCCTCTCCAAGGGGAACTTGCTCCAAATGCCCAGGCTGCAGAACCCCCAGTTCTGTCCCTGCCTTGCTGTGTGACCACAGGGGTCCCTCTCTCTGAGCCTCAAACAAGGTCAGTGAGCTGGACAACTCCAAAGGCTTTTTAATTCTTATTTTTCGTGGTGCTGAGGAGGGGGCCCAGGGCTGTGCACACTCTAAGCAATGACCCCACTTAGGTCCCCCTCCAGCCCCCTTTTTCGTGTTGTTTGAGGTAGGGACTCACTGGGTGGCCAAGGGTGGCATCCGGCTTGCCAGCTTCCTGCCCAGCTCCTGAAGGGCTGGGGTCACAGGCAGGCACCACCAGCCCCGAGGGCCTTTCATTTCTTATCTCAGTAATTGAGGTCCAGGGGAAATCCAGAACTGGGCCCAAACCCCCGTACCCCCCCTCCGCCCGCACAGATCAGGAATAAGGCCAGGGGCTGGAGAGTGGCCCAGAGGTGGAGCACTTGCCTGGCATGTGTGAGGCCCCGAGGTCCACCCCAGCACCAAAAAAAAATAAAAA